TTTACAAATCGAAAGAATACTGAAGAGGACCCAAACGGAGAGTCGAAGCGTTTGTTGATATATGCGAATATATGCGAATAATAAATAATATTTATAATTATAAAAAAAAGAAAACCTTCAAATAATAACGACAACGTCCAGCCAGGCTTACATGCTTTATATTAGAATTTGATTTTTATTTCGGAAAAGCCTATGAAATAGATAAATATAAAATAATATAATATAATATTTGTATATAGCATTAATACACCACATATATTTATATAATACATATTATCTTTACAAAAATTTAATATACTGCAAGTGATTTTGGCTAGTAATTGATTACTTATTTTGAGTATTAAAAATATTGTTTTTAATGATTTTAATACTCAAAATAAGTCATTAATTACTAGCCAAATAATCACTTACAGTATTAAATTTCTATAAGGGTATTGTTTCACGTAATACAATAATCTGCAGAAACAATAAATATATGTACTTACATACTTATCCATAAGATTATGCATTATTTGAACAAAGTTTTCGACCTTTGGAATTTTCCGCGGATTTTCTTTTAATAATAAATCATCTTTATCACTACTGGATGATGACGAAGAAAGCAAATTTAATAGTCCAAATGCTAATCGTGCATCTCGTGAATTTGAAACATTGTCACCATCCCACGCAGCCATGTTGCACTGAACTGACACCGTCTCTCGGAGCTCGTGCCGAATTCTCGCACTATAGTGCAAAAACTCGGCACTAGACTTCCCAGTGAAACAGCGCGCACCATTTTCGCGCGCATCGAAACGCCCAGTGAAACACGTTGCCTGCGGCGAGTGCGCACTTAGTGCGCACTAGTTCTCCCAGTGAAAAACGCTATAAGTGTACTATGTGTTAAACGTTATTATATGTATATAAAATTAAGTACAAGATAATTAATCGAAAAATCGTGCACCAACTTTTGTACAGCAGTAAACTTTTGCGCAAAGGAGTTAACGCAATAAGAAAAGTGGAATTTATTTAACAATATAACTATTGAGAAAAAACTTTGAAAAGAAAAAAGTAATGATACTTACCGTCTTGCCAAACGTGAAGAAAAAGGCTTCTCAACTTATGTCATTTATGTATATATTTAAACTATGGAAAAGTTAATGTATTTTAAACTTGTGTGGATAACGAGAAAATATTATAGGAGTACTATGGATAGAATAGGTTTTAAATTAATAATACCACAATACCTGGCTTGGCCAATAAGTGTGCATACGTTATTGTTATATTGTCGTATATATTTGACAAGAAATGGCAAAAATAATCTTTAATATATATCTGTTATTTGCAAATCCAGGTAGTAATTTCATTTGAAATAACTTGTAAAATATTTTTTAATATAAATAATGTTACAGAAAAATGTTTTTTTATTTTTGCATTACATTTCACAATTTTTTAAATGTTATCTGATGTTAAACATAATATTACATTAAATTATCGTACGTTTCAGATTCTATTCTATGACTTATGGTATGTACTCTGTTGTTTATACATTACATTACAAACGATACTTTATTTGCCCCAAAGGAGCCTTAAAGGGCGTTTTTGAGGAACGTTCCCAAACCTTTACATATAAAATACATATAATTAATACATAATCATAATCCTCTTCAATCCTTTTCGTTGTCTCGTCTTCCTTGATCCTCTCTTGTTGATTGTCTCCCTACCCCTTCCACTGCCTCCTCCCCATTCCCCTCCCCCGCTCCGCCTCGTCCCCGTCGTCGTCCGATCCCATCAGTAGCTTATCCTCCATTTTCTTCACTATATCTTCCTCTGTCAGCCCCTCTTTTTTCTCGATTTCCTCTTTCTTTTCCTTTCTCAATTCCCTTTCTTTTCCTGCTTTGATTCTCTCCTCCACCGACTTGTCTTCGTCTATTTTTACTTTCATCCTGCTTCCTTCCTTTCTTCTTGCTTCCAAAACTTTCCATTTATCCTCCTCACTTCTCAGCTTCACCATAAAGTCAGTCCCCTCGCTGTCCTATCATAAACACCTCCTTCACCTCCACCTTCACTTTCAGTCCTTCCGTGAATAATTGTTCCACCTTCTTCCAGTTTGCGTCGGTTCCTCCCCATCTATGTTTCTCAACTCTGATTATCACGTTTTTCCTTCTCTTCATCTCCTCGTCATCTTCTTCCTCTTCGTACCACCATTTTTTCCTGCTTATTTTTTCCTCTCTTTCTTCACTCTCGTCCCTCTTTCTTTTACCCGAAACTTGCTCCATTTTATGCACTTTCCTTTTCAAAATCTCTATTTCTTCTCTCATTTCTTTCATTTCCTGCTTAATACTCTTCATCATCCTCGCTGTCCTTCCTTCTATTGTCGTCTCAATCGCCTTCACCTCTAGCTCCACCGTTCCTCTGATCTTCGTGCTTCCTTCCATCTCTCTTTTCTTCTGCGGCGTCTGAAATAAGTTGTCTTGTGAATATCTCCTCCGCTTATCGCCTATGTACTCCCCTTCATTCCTCTCCTCCTCTATTCCACTATACCCTTCACCCTTCTAGCCAATCCTTACCTTTGACCTTATTCGCAATTGCTTTTCTCTATACTGCAGCCTTCTTTTCTTTAGTCGTGTGTATCGTCACGCGGTTCGCTTTTCGGTCGCCACGTGCGTCTCTTACCTGTTCCCCTTCTTACTTTCTATCCCTTCTCTCGTATTCCCGTTCTTGCCACCTGTCCGTTGCACACGTTGCGTCGACGTCGGTCTGTTCTGCCGACTTCCATCTCTTGTTTTGCCGTCCGTCCATCGCACACGTTGCGGTGAGTTTGCAACGCGTGCGTTATGTATCCGCCTTACTTCCTTCTCGCCTCCTGTGCCATTTCCTTGCCTTTACCATCTCCTTCAGTCAGTCCTAGCCTCTTTCTACGGGCTCTTTTTCTCCGACTGTTTTCTCCTACCCTACTCCGCCCTTTCTCTGCCTCTAATTCTATTTCTTGAGTTGGACTTCCGTTTCCTTTGCTTCTTTCCTTTCATATTTTTCTCTCATACGTCACAATCACACTGTTCTCTTATCCATCACTTCCCCTCTCCTCCCTCCCTCTTGTCTACTTTCCTCTATCGCTTTCATCCATTCCTCTCCCTCTCCCCCCTCTCCTAGTAAATTCTCCACCACGTCCTGCCACCCCTCTCCATCCCATTTCTTCCATCTCGTACACTCCTCCCATATGTGTTCCCAGGTTTCCTCCTCCCTCTCGCATATCCTACACCTTCTATTCTCCTTTTTTTCCCAATGCAATCCTTCCCTTATTTCATTCCCAAGTCTGAACCTCGCGACCCTGCTCCACCTTTCTTCCTCCCAGTTTTTCTTGAGGTATCCTGGAATCCCGTCCTTCCTTATGCATTTATACCACCTGTTGTATTTTGATTCTACGATCTTTTCCATCCTTTCTTGTTTTTGCTTCGCCTTCTCTCTGCTCTCCAGATTTTCCACTTCTAACTCTTCCTCCTCTTCAACTCTCACCCCCAGCTCTTCCAGATAACTTTTCCTTTCTTGTTCCCACTTTCCTATTATTTTCCCCCTCTTCCATCTCTCTTTCATTTCCTCTAGGCATTTCCTCGCTATTCCCCCTCCGTTGCCTTCCTCTAATTTCTTTTCGAACTTCCACGCTCTCTTGCTTGCCCTGCCTCTCATCTTCTCTCTCTCCACTTCATCTCTCACCATATATCCGGGTGTCCTCCAGTTTAGCCCAAATATCCATCTAATATACCTTTCGTGTATACTTTCTACCTCCACCCTTTCTTTCCACCCCCACACTTCTGCCCCGTATCCCATCACTGTCCATATCAGAGTATCATACAGCCAGATCCTTCTTCTCCAGTCCTTTTTCCACATTCTTTTCCCTATCCCCCACACTTCCCTCATTACTCTCGCCGCCTTCCTTCTTCTCTCTCTGATATGCGCCTCTTGCCCCCCATTTTCCTTCAACGTATATCCAAGATATTTAAATTCCTTAACTTCTTCTAGTTTCTTTCCTTTTCATCTCCAATCATACTTCCTCTTTCTTCCTCCTCCCTTTCTGAATCTCATTATTTTTGATTTCTCTATGCTTAATATTAGTCCCTTCTTGTCCAAGTATCCCTCTAGCCTGCTTATCATCGATCTCATGTCCTGTTCTTCTTCTGCCATCAGCGCTATATCGTCCGCATACATTAACGTGTAAATCTTTCCCTCTCTTAACTTCACACCCCCCCATCCTCCTTTCTTCATGTAGTCTTCCAAGTCCGCGATCAGTATGTTAAAGAGTATCGGGCTCAATGGGCATCCTTGCCTCACGCCCTTCGCCATCCAGAATGCACCTCCACACTCTCTTCCTATTCTTATTCTACTCTTTGTTTCTCTTAATACCTCTTTAACCCTGTCTATTAAACCCTGCCTCACTCCTCTCTCTAACATCGCTCTAATTAATACTTCCTTGTCCACTGAGTCGAAGGCCGCCTTCAAATCTATGAAAAACACTGTCATCTTTCCTTTCTCCTTACCCAATTGTCTATTTACCAGATAGTTCAACGCGAATATCTGATCCATCGTCCCCATCCCTTTTCTGAATCCTGCCTGGTTATCTGGAATCAAATTCTTTGTCTCAATCTCCTTCCTTAACCTTTCTGCCAATATCGCTGTGTATATCTTGTACATTGATGACATTATCGTTATTCCCCTATAATCCTTCACCCCTCGTCCTTCCCCTTTTTTTATTATTGGGACTATTTCTCCTTCCTTCCATTGTTCCGGCCATCCTTCCCCTCTCCATATTTTTTTACAGATTTCCCATATCCATTTCTCCATTTCTTCTCCTCCATATTTCCACGCCTCGTTCGGTATCCCGTCATTTCCTATCGCCTTTCCTGCTTTTAACTTCTTTATTACATTTCTTACCTCCTCCAACTCTATCTCCTCTTCTCTTTGTCTGCTCCCTCCCCCTTCTCCTTTCACTACCCTATTCTCCATCCCACCCATTAGCTCCATGAAGTACTCTTTCCATTCTTCCATCTTTATCTCTTCATTTATCCTCTTCCTTCTTTTTCTTACTCTGCCTATCAACTCCCACACCTTTCCTTCCGTTTTTGCTTCCCCTATTTCTCTTATCATCCTTTCCTTCTCCTCGTTCTTCTTTCTTTTACACATTTCTCTGTATTCTTTTCTCTCCTCTCTGTACCTTTCCACTTCTCCTCTTCCTTTCCTCCATTCTCTCAGCTCTTTCCTCACCTCTCTTTTCTTTTCCTTACATTCTTCATCCCACCATCCTCTTCCGTTTTTCTTATCCCTTCTTCCTCCCTCTTTTTCGTTCTCTTCTATTATCTTTCTTATTCTTGAGCTCCCTACTTCTATCTCCTCCTGCACCTCTCCTTCTCCTCCCTCTATCGCTCCTAGTCTCTCTTTAAACTGCGACCTTCCCTCCTCATTCCATATTCCCCTTCTTCTTACTCTTCCTCCTTCTTTTCTTTTCTGATCTTTCTCACGTTTACCCCTCATCCATAGTGTTACTGGGTGATGATCCGAGTCCACCCTTTCTCCTACCTCCATCCTTTCTACCCTTTCTCTAACTTCCTCCTCCCCTATCGCGTAGTCTATAACTGTTTCTCCTCTCCCTCCTGTGTACGTAAATTCACCTTCCTCATCTCCCTTCACACCTCCATTTAGTATCATCCAACCTCTTTCCTCTATGAATTCCAATAACTTTCTTCCGTCCCTATTTATTTTCTTGTCTTTTGATCTTCTTCCTCCACCTTCCACTCCCTCCTCGTCCTCCTCTTCCCAACCTCCTTCCTCCCCCATTCTCGCATTGAAATCCCCACCTATTATAGTTCTTACTCCCCTTTCTCCCTCCTCCATTGTATCTTTCAGCCCTTCTAGC